GATTCCCATTCCTTCCCTCTACCTCGGGATCCCTTTACCAGCCAATGTTGGGCAGAAGCTGTTCACGACCTCATGTTTCAACTGTCCTTCAAAACTGTGAATTTTTTTCTCCAGGTTTTATTCCAGGCTGTTGGTTGTCCACACAATAACTGGTGCTGGCATTCTGTCATAGATTGTCCAACCTCATTCCTTTTCTCCATCTCCCTCATTTTCCCCTGGTAGTCTTGTCTCACACTCTGGCGGACTTTTTCTCCAGGTTTCGAGATGACCCAGATGGTTATCACAACTGTTTCATTCTATATAATGTTCACTTGCTTGTTCCAACTATATCTTTGGTTAGTCCTTCGAGGGGGTGATTTATACACTCTGCATAGTCCCTTTGGGTTTGCTTTGGCCTTGTATGTTTTTGTCAAATGGTTCGAGCTTTGGTTCATTCATTGGAGCTTTCAGTTCCATGCTCTTACTACTCCTTCTCTTACTGCTCATGAGGTTCTATTGCTTTTAGAGATGTGGTCTTCCATGACTACACTTCTCATCTTGGATTGTGCTCTTATGCATGCTCTTTTGTGATCATTTCAAGACTAATGGTCTCTTCCATGGGTCCCTTTGCAGACTCTTATTACCCTTCCTCCTACCATAGTTGATGATCAGTGTTGGTGGCTGGACAAACCCCACATGTCGGCAAGTGTCCTGCTTCCTACTCCTCATCTGGATTTCCTTCTTCTTATGGACTCTTCTCTTTAAGGATGGGGTGTGGCTTTTTGATCAGGGTTCTTCTGTCATCTTGATTTTTCTGGTTATTGCACATCTTTCTCCCACACCTACCATTTTCCCCAATGCCTTCATGTTTTCCTCTCCTACACTCTCCCTGTTGTACCATTCCTTCCAGACTAGTCGTCCTTCATGGTGGGCTGCCCTTCCAGAAAGGGATATTCTGGTAGTCCTCCATTGCCTTTCTTTACCACCATTTGAACCACTTTCCACATGCTCCTTGTTTCACCTTTCCTTTCAGACTCATTTCCTTCTATTGGCCATGGGATCTCAATGGTTGGATTTGTTTGACATCTATGTTTCATATACTCTTTAGCTTCTCCTTTTCTGGATCATTCTTTCCTCCCTGACACCTCTGCAGTGTGGGAGGGTGCCTCCTCCTTTTTGCTGCTTTCCCATTCCTTCAGTTTCTCACCTCATCATGATCCAGATAGCCTTCTATGTCCCATACTTGCTCTTTGGTGTTGTATTGCCCACACAGCTTCCATCTGTGGTGCCCATTCCCAATTTTTTATTCCATGATAACATCCTCTGTTCGAATATTTTTCCTCCCATCTTCACTTTGGGGTTCGGCTTTTGTTTTGATAGGCTGATTCCTCTCTTACGGTTATGTTGTCCTCCTGGACTTTGTTACTGGTTTTTTCTCATCAAGTTTCAAATCTTGAAATCTTATCTTTTCTCAGGCATCTCACCTGCATTGTCCGTTAAAGGAAATTCGTCTGTAGGGCATGTGGACTATGCATCATACGTTAGTCTCCCTTAATTTCATCTATATCGCGATTTCTTCTTCATCGGATTCTAGTCTTCTGCCTGCAACCGTTTTTCGCGACTCAGTGCGACTTTGACTGAATTAGCTTATATTAATATTTTTCTTCTCCTTTCAGGGGTCCTTGCTTCATTTCTCATTTTATGGATCCCACTCTGTGGTGAATGGTGCCTGAACAAGTATTTTTTAATTCTAAATCTGCACTATCAGCCATGTTGACTCACACTCTCTTGTCCATTGCTTCGCACACTCACTGTTAAGATGGGGTGTTCCAGAAGATCGCTTGATGGTTAATTACCTCACAATAAGTTGCTTCATAAATGTGCCTGTTCTGGACTGTACCACCCATGGATTACATGGGTAAAGCAGAAGGGGATTGCTGCCCATCCCTGCCATGCCTCGAGTGAATAACCAGGTATGGTCTGCTTTTCAAAATATGGTTTCATGGTCACCAATTGCACTGTCTTGGTGATGACATTCCTCTGTGCTCTCCACCACATTGTCAACCTCCTTTCCTCAAGTAGAGTGTGGAAGTCCTTACCACTTCCAGTTCCAAGCTGCTGGTGTGGTTGACCAAGGAGGCACTCTCCTGAATGGGTTCCACACATAAAAATATTCAAACCATTCAGTTGAGAGTAGGGAAGTGGTGTTCTGCTGGTGTAGATGTGACATGGCCTCCTGATACCTATTACACAATATCTGCAGTTGAGCCATTGCCTTTCTGGTTGACGTGGCCTCCTGATACTATCTACACAGCCAAGAGAGTTGAACCATCACCTTGCAGGATGATGTGGCCTCCTACTTCCTTTTATACAAATGCTGAAGTTGAGCCATCACCTTACTGGATGACATGACCTCCTGATACATTTTACATATACACTGGAGTTGAACTGCCACAGTTGCAGTTCACCCCTTTGATTGGGATACCTCATCCCACCTATGTGTGGAAGCTAGTTCCCAGCATAGAGGTTTTGCATTGGAGTGAACCAATCAACATACGTCCTCACACAATTACAGGTTGTCTATCTTCATCCCCCAATTGCTCTGTGTCTTTGGTTACAACAGTAGTACATTAGATACTTATGGTGTGATTCTTGTCTATCCCTCATTCTTTTCTTATGGGGATGTGATTGCCTTTGGATGGTGCTGGACTGTGCCATGGCTGAGGAGTTGATTACATGTGATACACATCCTTTCAATACCAGATGTCTGTTCCTGGATCAATAGATTGGCGATAATCCTCATTCTACCCTCATGTAGATGTTAGTACCCCATAAGGAGGTTTTGGATGTATTTGACTTACCGAGTGTGGTCTGCCGCATCCTAGCCACTCTACACCTCACAATGTCTGTCCTTATGCATTACACAATCTACACATGGGTGAAGAGTATACCTGGCTCAGAAGTGGTGTGGTTCCTTTCTTCTGCTCTTCAGATCTATATCTCTCATGGTCAGGGGTATCCTTCAGATTCTTTTGGGGGTACTTCTTTTGTTATTTTGCACCAGTCCTTCCTCCTTTTCAATGTGGGATTCTAGCTAATTTTGTGAGAGGAGGTAAGTAGTGTATCGGAAGTTATAATTTTTCTATATTGAAAATGTATTTCCGATAGGTACTTACCTCTTTTCACACTTCCCACCTTTCCTCCCCACTTCTCCAGTGCTCACACCTTCTGCCAAATGTTTTAGTGAAGGTTCGGTAGAGGAGTGTAGAGGGAGTCACATGCATCATGTGAGTATGTCATGTTACTTTTGGTTAAGAGATCATGCCTGATAATTTGCATGAGAGACATTTTGAAATATAGTAATTCCAACAAAGGGGGGGGGGGATTGCAAGGCTTGTGGCATGCATAAAGAATAAGTTCTCATATGGAGGGCAGCACTGAACGAGAATAGCTAATCTTGTGAAAGAAGGTAAGTACCTATCAGAAATAAATTTTCAATACAGGAAAATTATAACTTCATAGTATGTTGATAATTTTCGTTATTAGCTTAATTTTAATGTACATAATTTTAGTTTCAAAATATTACTAGACTATATGCTTTGGATCAATCAGTTTTGAGAATGGAAATAATTCCTTTACCATAAAGATAGTAAGTGGCTTGAATGGGTAGTGAAAGAAACTATTACAATGTATGTCAATGTTTCAACAAGCATATGGCCTCATCAGGTACAGATAGTTTACATAGACACAGGAATATATATACAATATGGAACAAAGAGATCACATGACTGTAGGTTGCTTAACAGCTTAGTAAAGGTATCTTGGTTAAGCAATCTCCAGCTATGTGACCTCTTTTTTCCATACTGTATATATATACATATTCCTGTGTATATGTAAACTACTTGTACCTGATGATGACATATGCTTGCCAAAACATTGACATACATTTTTAATAGTTTCTATCACTATGCATTTAAGCCATTTCCAAACTTTATTTTCTAAAAAGTGGGTTCGTCATCATCAAATTTGAATTCCTTTACTATTTATATTGATCCTTACTTTTATTAAAGTTATTAATTTATAGAAAATTTCTTTCCTTGATCTAATGTTTTTTAATTAATATCAATTTGTTCAGGAAGCAGAACAACATGGTTTCTCAGCTGATGAGCTACAAGTAGCCTTAAGCAACTGTGGAAAACAAAATCCCATCCATTGGTTGCAGGAGAACTGGAAGAACATGGTGGAAACTGTTGTTACCTTGGCAACTAATTATGGTCATGACAAGCGAGACAATAATGTGGGGATCATCACTGTAACAGAATCACGTGAAGCACTAGTAACCCATAGAGGAAATGTTTGGGCATCAGTTACAGAATGTGTTGAGGGACGGCAGAGAAAGGTGAGGATGAAATTATCTAGCATATGTTGTTCACATTATCTTATTTTTACAAAATGAGAATATGAGGAATACTTAATACCTTTAAAGTTTCAAATATATTATTTCCGATATGGTACATTATATCTACTAACATAAATAGCTATTCTCATTCATTGCTGCTCACTATATGCAAAAAATTGTTTTACTCATGCTACAAGCCTTCTTTCTTCCTTCCATTGGAATTGACTGATTCCAATGAGTCTCTCATGCAAATCATCGTGCGTCAACCCTTCACCAATAAGAGTGCAACTTACTCTCATGACTCCCTTTATATAATTCTATCAAACTATCACTTCTTGTTTGGCAGTACTCATGTTCAGACGTTTTTTCTTTTGGTGCTCTTTGTGCAATCGTGATTTTAATAGTTTAATTTCCGAAGTGGGATTTCTTCATTATTATTATTATTATCTTTACATTGAAGAAATATTTGAATATAAATTAATTTCCCAGTCTTTATTTTTTTTCCTTACACTTGCATATTTATATCAAACACTTTTGTTTGACTTACATATTTCTACAATGAATTCTGAGGTTCATGTTCCCACTTTGGGTGTTATACCTCTAGCACTATTTTCACAGGCTGCAGGTGGGGGAGACCCGTGGTTGGATTTCTCTGCTATTATACATTGTGAGACTGATCATTATATGGGTCAACCTTCTTCTCCTGAACTTCCCACACTAATCCTCCTGCACAAGCTAAACCTGTTTGGGCTCATGAAAAGTTGATAGCCTTTTTACACTACCGGATTTTGTCATATTTTTTTAAAATTCTCCTGCAGAATCAGCTAGGCCTAATACTGTATTTTTCAACATGATTTCTCAGGTATGTTATGTTTTATCCAATTCTCCATTTTTCTATGATTCCTTCTTACTGCCCCCCAGTGGCACAGCGGTATGTCTGCGGACTTACAATGCTAGAAACCAGGTTTCGATACCAGTGGTGGGCAGAGCACAGACAGCCCATTGTGTAGCTTTGTGCTTAACTTCAAACAAACAAACAATCCTTCTTACCTCCATGTCGGCTCGTTTGTCATCTTTGGCTCTCGCTTTACAGATGTGGTTTCACTGTAGCTGGGATTTTCTGGGTTGATATGCGACCTTGTCCCAGGTACATTTGCTGCCTCTTTCTTTTCAGGATTTCTGTATTTTTCCTTTGACAATATGTTTTCGATCATGTAACTGAGACTTTGAAAATCTTATGTTTAATCTGTTGCAATTTTTCTACACTGAAAATGTATTTCTGATAGCTCCTTACATCTGCTCACACTTCCCACCTTTCCTCCCGACTGAAAACCAGTGCTTCCATCTTCTGCCAAAACTCAAAGTGATAATGTGGTAGAATTAAATAAAGGGAGTCACATGCGTCATGAGAGTATTTCACGCTCTTATTGATGGAGCTGTGACGCATGATGATTTGCATGAGATGCATTGGAATCAGTCAATTCTAATGGAGATAGAAGGCTTGTGGCATGCATAGAATAATTTTTTGCATATAGAGGGCAACACAGAACGAGAATAGCTACTTATATGAGAGGAGGTGAGTACCTATCAGAAATACATTTTCAGTGTAGGAAAGTTATAACTTTAGTTCAATACTGTGTGTGGCAAAATAACAGATAAAATCACTTATCTACATTAATACTTAATGACTACTTTAATGTTTTTTTTATATTTTACTACTTTTTTTTTTCTCTTCCACTTAGTTCATGGAATTGACTTCAAGGGGGAATTTCTCTCCTGGAGAAATAGTTGCAGCTCTCACAGCAAGTCATGGTAATGTTGAGAAGGCTTATATAGATCTTACAAAATCAACTGTGAAACCTTTTCTAATGCGAATTTGGGGTCCAGGAGCAGGAGTGGACAACCAAGAAGGTGCCATCAGACGACATACTTTACAGTCTACAATCAATAAGAAGCAGGACAGAATTTGGTCTGAAGAGATTAGTGACTTGGAATCAGATCAGCTGAGTCCTCATGATATTTTGTCAATACCCTCTCCTCCTCTTTCTATTAAAACTCGGGAAAGTTCCTGGTCCAGGGACATAAGTGAGGTTGAAACTGGTAAGGGAAGCTCACTTCCTGTTACACAAGGACCTTCACCTTCCCAATCAGTTCATGATCAGCAATGGTGTGAAAATATAAATGACCTAAAGTCAGGTCAGCAAAGCCCAACTGTCTTTTCAATAGATCCTTCTTCCTCCATTAGTCATTCCACCCATAATAGAATGATGTCTGAATTTGAGAATGTTACTGATGTGGAATTAGAACAGCAGAGTCCTCTCGTAACTCGGAAGAATTTATCACCAGTGTTGAGGAGAAGTGCAAGTGAATTGATTATCAGTAAAACTGAAGGAAAACAGAAAGATAAAAGTGAAAAAAGTAGCCGTCCAAGTTTCCTGAGACGACTAGCTTCACTTAGAAGAGACAAAACGAAAGAAAAAAAGAAAGATAAGGGGACCAATTTAGTTGAGCAGGATACATCTCTAACATATGAAGAATTACAATTTGGCAAAAAGTATGATAACACTGAACAAATATTAGAAGGAAACGAAGGGATGAGAAACCATGATGTGTATGCTGTATCTTCTAGTGCTGCAAATCCAGTTAAGATCAGTCTTTTGTTTCCTCAGAAGAATGATTCTGTTCTTTATGAAATTCAATCTTCCAAGAATACATCATCTGTAAAAAAATCTCAGTCTGATGAGCCTAGATATGCATCAGAACTTTTAACTGAAGTAAAAAGTTCAAAGAAGAAACTTCCAAGTTTCTTTGAAAGAAATAAAAAACTGATTTCTGGCCGTGTCTTTAAAAATGTTGAGCCTGAAACCAACAGAAACCAAATGCAGTTACATCAAACTGTCCAAAATCCTGTCAGAGGGAGTAAGGTTGAAATCACTAATTCTTGCACAAATGTGAGAGATTTACCTTCAGAAATGATTAGAATACCAGCTGACACTGATGAGGATGAAATAAATAATTCCTTTGAACCTTCATCTCATGTTAAGTCCGAGACTAGTAGAAAACAAAAATATTTATCAAAAAAAACTCACAATAGAAGATGCAGGGCTACTTCAAAAACATTTGAAATTATTAGGAAACTGAATCAGAAATCCAAAACAGATTCTGATTCTTCTGAGACAGATGAACCACATGTTAGATCTGAGGCGAACAGAAAACAAAAATATAATATCAAATCTACTGATAATAATGTTGAAGAAAAAAAAGAATTAGAACATACTTTAAATGTTTCTATTGTTAATAAAGACATACAACAAGATTTGAAAATAGAACCAGATTTGTCTGGTGGAGCTGAAAACATGGTGACAGGATGCTCTTTCAATAAAACTGTAAACAGTAAAAGTCAAAATATCTCTAGCATTGTTCACAAAAACAAAAAATCTGAACCTACTTTAGGTGTTGCTGAAATCAATAACAACTTGTTTCATGAATCTGAAACAACACCCAAATTATCTAAAATAGATGTAATCTCAAATGCAGATCACAAAACAACTATTGAGAACAAGGAAGAAGGAAGCCAAACTTTTGAGCATAAAATGAACTCTGCTATATCCAAAGTTACCGAAATAAATGAATCAAAGATAGTTTCTAAAGGAGGTAACACTTCTAGTACCCCTAATTCAAATCTTGTACTTAATGATACTAAGCAAATTGCTCATCATTTAGATCAACCCCAAGTTCTGCAGCCTGTGAAGAAAGAAACACTACTTGAGTCTCCTGAAAGGACAAAACCACCCCGATTCCTAGATCTTTCAAAGAAATTAAGTACTGTTAGCTTTTCTAAAACTGAAAGCAATGATATAAATGAAGATGTAATCTCAAATGCAGATCACAAAACAACTATTGAGAACAAGGAACAAGTAAGCCAATCTTTTGAGCATAAAATGAACTCTGCTATATCCAAAGTTACCGAAACAAATGAATCAAAGATAGTTTCCAAAGGAGGTAACACTTCTAGTACCCCTAATTCAAATCTTGTACCTAATGATACTAAGCAAATTGCTCATCATTTAGATCAACCCCAAGCTCTGGAGCCTCTGAAGAAAGAAACACTACCTGAGTCTCCTGAAAGGACAAAACCACCCCGATTCCTAGATCTTTCAAAGAAAGTAAATACTGTTAGCTCTTCTAAAACTGAAAGTAGTGACCTAAATGAAGATTTTGGCACTCTTCTAACAGAAGAAGTAAGTTATGTCAACCCCATCAGTGAGACCAACACAACTGAAAAACAATCAACCAAAAAAGGTGGTTCTACAATCAAAAATTTCTTTTCATCGTCAAAGAAAAAAAATTATCGTCCTGTGTCAGTAACAAATGAAAAACGACTTGAATTTGAGGTAAGTGAACTGTTTGATTATTTTTCAAATGCTGTATATGAAAATTGACTATGCTAAAACAAAAGATGAATACTTTGAGCTTATATTAATTAATTATAATGGAGTTGAATTAAATAATGTCTGTCTGCAACATTATTGTATTTGAAAATCTACATGAAGAGGCTAATTAATAAACACGCAATTGAAAAAATTTCACATGTATGCAAGAAGTTTGAAACTGATGAGATCATATGTTACAGATTAATTAAGAAAAGGTGCCTTGTCTTTTCTTAAATTTCTGAAATCCTGAAAATTTTGTGTCACTGTTTGCACTGATATGCAAGTTCTCTCCAAAAAAAAACTTCCTGGTAAAGAGTAACAATGCAAAGAAATCTATAAAAGTTCTCTTCTGTGTAATATTTGTAGCTTTTCCACATTAGTTATTACACTAATTTCAGCTGCTTTCACTTACACTTGTAATGTGTATAAAATTTTGGTCTGAATTGAAAGTATAATTTTATTTGGCATAAAACATTTTGATATTTTATCCATAATGATGATTAAAATATCACAATTACATCATATTTGTAATATTATGATCCTGTATGTAAATAGTCCAATAAATTATATACATAGTAACATGAGTTTAGAAATGTTAAGAATATGTTGTGTTAAAAGAATTTCATAAGAAAACTGCATCTTGCTTAATTGCAGATTTTTTATAGATTTAGATTTATTGTAATATATTTCTGTTGAAACTTGTGGTAATGCATACAGGTGGCTTGGTGTTCAAAACTAACATTTGAATGTGACAAATTTTAGATTTTATTTTTCCATATTTAAAGTGAATTGTTTAATTTGGCCACAATTAAAGATTATGTGATTTGTAAGTTTGTTCTTCAAAATCATTGAAAACCATTCCATAATATTTTTACAAAATATTTAATTCAGGGGTAATTTGTCAGAAACAAAAATGAGTGTATTAACACTAGGATTCTGATATTAACAATCTTGTCATACTTATGTGAAATATTGTTTTACACTAAAGTAGTTACCATGGTAATAATGTAATACCCAATAATGCTGTCAATTTTACATAAAAACAAAATCTATTTACCTACAGACATTGAAAGAAAATAATTGATAATATTTTACATAAAACACCATTTTTCTTGGTCACAACCTTATTTAAATTTAATTATCAAGTAACAGGTTTAGATTATATTCATTTTAAATTGGACCTTGACCACTTTTGTTCCATGTTGTTTCAGACACTTCTTTGTTGTCAGTGGTTGTTGGCCTGGCATGACTTGGTGGTTAGGGCATTTGACTTATTATCTGTGGTTTGCAGGTTTGAATCTCATCACCGAACATGCTTGCCTTTTTAGCCATTAGGGTATTATAATATAACAATCAATCACACTATTTGATTGGAGTAGCTCAAGAGTTGATGGTGGGTGATGTTGACTAGCTGCCTTCCCTCTATCACTTCTAATAGGTAGGCAAACAATGATTTATAAATTTAAGGAAGAATTTTATTGATGGTGAAACATACTACATGTTTTGACAGAACATTCGACAAAAATTCATTCCAAAATATTTTGTGACCTATTTCATATTGATGATATGTTAAGGCAGATATCTTGAATTCACCTCTATGCATGTAGTATGTTTCACCATCAATAAAATTCATCTTTATGCTTACAAATCATTGTTTGCCTACCTATTATTATATTAGCATAATGTGATTCTTGATTCAACTATCACTTCTAAATTAGAGATGGCTAGCACAGGTAGCCCTCAAGTAGCTTTGAACAACAATCAACAAACAAACATTTGTTATTATGAGAATTTTTTCATTATAAACAAAATCTGTTTCAGAGAAAAGTCAGAAGTTTTCTGACTCAAGGAAAATGCCAGACTTATGAACAATCAGAAATTGCAATCAAACTTATGGATATGAAATTTGATGAAAAGGAAGCTCTTCAGGCTGCTATGGAATGTGATTCCCTATATCAAGCTGTCAACTTCCTGCAACAAGAATGTGAGCTGTGTTCTGGGAAGTTCCCTATGGCTGAGGTGCAAATTCTTGTTTTATTTTCTTAAACCAGATATCACCACATGTATGAAAGCTTCAGGAAGTAACTTATGATGTGTTACAGGTGTTATTTTGTTTATGTCAGCTTAATCCTGAAATTTCTTCACCTTACTGATTCCCATTTTCTTTGTAGCATCTTAACTAGAATGGATAAGAGCCTATCACACGTAACTACTCGGAGGAACAGTTGAAATATAAAATTATAAGTACATTCAGTAGAAAAAATAATTGTTTCAGAAATGCTACTTACTTGTCCACAGAACAGATAACTAATATGTCATGCTACTGCTGAAAAGTTTTTGTGCATGCACCAAGTCTTTGAACAAACTCCTACCTCTACACATAATAACATCTGCTGCACCACTCTATGATGCAATCAGCAATAGCACATTTCCCATACACAACACTTCCCTTGAGTATTTTGTGTATACTTAAAACTTATTCTTTTCTTCAACACTGTAGTGTTCATTCATGTTCTTTTTCATTAAGATTTACAAAACATTTGACCAAGACCTAATTAAGTACTACAGACATATCACACTGATAAAAAGGTAAATAAAATAAATTTAAAAATGTAGAAATCATATTCTTATTTTCCATAAATTCAGTTTCATTGATTTTATTGAATACGACTTCCCGCGTTCGATTTCTAGACTCCTCAATAGGAATTGTCTTATTTTACTGAAATGTGGACTTATAAGTGATGTTTTTGACATTTTAAATCACGTGGTTGGTTTTATCCTACTTTCTTTATCTTGGACCTAGATCATACAGCCTCCTGCTTTATCACCTTCTACTGAGCCTGCTTTGTTTTTGGATGACTTTGACTAGCTCTTCCCACAAAATGTAATCACCCCTGAGACTGAGTGGATACACCCCTCAATCAGAATTAGGGTGGGAATGTCTACTTTAAGTGTAGTACAAGCCACTCTCTACACTAAGAGCCAGACCATGTTCACTATTGTAGGATGATTGAACTCTGCATATGTCTTTTCTGATAAGTATATCACCTAAGTATTTCTCATATAGTACATGACTTATTACCCTGGCCCGGCATGGCCAGATGGTTAGGGATCTTGACTCACAATCTGAGGGTTGCGGGTTCGAATCTCTGTCCAACCAAACATGCTCGCCTCTTCAGCTGTAGGGGCTTTATAATGTGATGGTCAATCCCACTATTCATTTGTAAAAGAGTAGCCCAAGAGTTGGCAGTGGGTGGTGATGACTAGCTGCCTTCCTTCTAGTTATTCACTGCTAAATTAGGGATGGCTAGTGCAGGTAGCCCTCATGTAGCTTTGTGTGAAATTCAAAATAAACCAAGCCTTATTACCCTAGCCACAATACAGTTCATGGTCTGCCAACCCCATGAGATATACAGGCTGATTAAGCAACTTTTACATTCTCTCCACTTTTGCATCACTTTAGTACCATGTAGGAGATTTTTTGTCAGTGCCTTTCTGCACTACCACATCTACTGAGGAAAGAGTATTTACTATTTTAGATGTATGCAGTCTCCCACCAAGTGATTTTCCAACTAGGGCTCACCACCCCTTAGTGTGTGATGCATTCCATGTGTTTTTCTTTCAGTTGCTTTAAGAAAGGAGCTCATCATTTTAATTTCTTTATCCACACCAGCCCTTCCTCCATGTTTTCAATGTAGAATTCTGACTATCTATTCTGTGGAGAGGCGAGTAGCATTTCCGAAGCTAACATTTTCCTTACCTGAAAATGTATTTCAAATAGATACCTCTCCACAGAACCTTTCACCCTTCTTCTCCACTTCTGGTGTGTCTCTTTTACCTTGTCAAGAATATGCTGTTGGTATCACAAAGTGTTCAAGAGAAATTGTGTACATGGAAGATGTGTTGTTCTCTTGTTGGTGGAGTGCTATATTCTAATGGTGATTGCATCACAAGCTGGCACAGTATACATTATTATTTATAGGGGTGGGAATTCATTCAAGTCTTGACACATGCATAAAACTTTTTGCCATTGGCATGAAGTATTAACTGTCTGTTCTGTGGAGAGGTGAGTATATTTTGAAAACACATTTGCAGGTAAGGAAAATGTTAACTCTAGCAGAAAGAGAAGTAAATTTAGATAGCTAGCAAGTAAATATTAGCATATGAGGCAGAATTATTCAAATTATTTATTACCTTCTAATACTTCATCTTCTGACAAGCAGCAGCACTGGAAAAACTACTAAAGTAGGAGGGCCAGCCAAGTGAAAAGATTTTGAGTGAGTAAAATACAATAACTGTTACCCTAAACATCTGAACTAATTCTCAGATGTCTGTTGCATGATTGCATACTGAATCATAAAATAAAATGTGCAACATCAACTTTTGAAAAATGATGTGTGATGTATCCCCACAAATTTTCTACAAAATAAAATTGCAACTGAAATGTTGAGATTTAAAATTTTTCTTTTTATATATATTTGTTTTGAATGAAATAATTAAAACAATCAAAACTTTAGCCCTATCTGTTTAAATTTTTATTCAGGTTATGGAAATAAAAATTTTATGTTGTGTAGTGACAATTTATTAGTAAACAATACAAAGACAGAAATGCGTAGAATCACAACCATTTTCAAACATACATCATTAAAAGTTTCATTATAAAAACGCTCCCTTATTCCTCTTGAAGCATTGCCTTGTGGTTATAAAGTATTTGACTTACAATTTAAAAAAAAAATTTTAATACTAACCTTATTTCTGTGTTGTTTTATAGTAATTAATATATTTTTATTTTTTATAGATGCTGGCAATGTTTCACTGTCCTCATCGCGCATGTAAAGAATGTTTGAAGGCTTACTTCACCATTCAGACAAGAGACAGAAATATCATGGAGTTGCGGTGCCCCTTCTGTAATGAACCAGATTTGTCGAATGAAGATGTAGCCCAAGATTACTTCAACCATATGGACCAACTGGTAGAGATACACTTGTCAGTTGCACAACAATCAATCAAAATTTACTGAAAAATATAACTTAAGAACTTAATAGAATGCATCAGCTAATAAATTTTCAGGAAGTATATCATTAGGACATGTTACAATTAAATGAGAAGTTTATGCATTAAAGTCTCACAGTATCATGTGTTGAACCACACTTTCTTCATTGTATATGTTTCATATATGAATACATTTCACACGTGTTGAACATGAAGTATTAAGAACAAACTACTGATATAATATATATATATATACACACAATGTTTCCTTAGCTTAACCACAACTTCCTTCTTTTCACTATTACTTACTTTCTAAACCTGCCACAATATCATAAAACAAGCTGTTATTCTCCTTTATGAACCAAGTCAGCTGATACAGTTAAAAATATTCAAATATGTAACCATCCCCAGTGTATTAATACAGTTATCTATAATCTCAAGGTTTGTAAACTATTCTGAATCCCTGTAGAAAATGGATATATTAAGAATTAAATATAGGGTTCACAGTAGTTCTCCTTATACTTATTTTTGAAAGTATTATGCTTTTCACTAGCTAAAGAACCTGGTAGAACCTGAGACCCATGAACTGTTTCAGAAAAAGCTGCGAGATAAAGTGCTGATGAAAGATCCAAACTTCCACTGGTGTTCTCAGGTAATTCATTTATAGAACAGTTGCTTGTGTGAATAAGTTTCTTACTTGTTATATGTTTGTGATCATTATCACTGATTAATCAGATCTGTTTTAGGGAATACTTATTGTGTTATGTTTGTTTTTCACATTTCACTTTTTGAAAAAAAATAGTTTGTTTTATTAGTTTTTTAATGGATTTGATATAAAGGTTACCTGTGATGAAGACAACTGTCAGGTTTTTAAGGCCGAATTCTGTACAGTAGCTTTACATAGCTTTAAATAATTGTTTCTTTTTCATCAAAATCCACACAAACTGGTTCAGTTACTTTAGGATACAATTGACAAGACGAATTCTTCTTCTTTACTCTGTTATTGCAATACAGTCTATTATAATTTCACTTTACATTCTTTACGCCACTATACATTCTTTATCGCTAAACTCATGATCACACAGTCTAGAACTAGAACTCAATAATGATTTTTTGATGTGTTTTTGTAACCCTACAAAAGTCTAGAATATTCTACACAATACTAGCTTTTCTGGTGTAATAATACTCAATTATACCAACAAGAAACTCAAATAGCTCTAGCAACATAACACAATAATACTACTATATTAAACCATTTCTAATACATAACAATTGAACTACACAACGTATGATTCATAAACAGTTAAGTAAGCAGATTTACCGTAAAATACCACTTCTAAAAGTAACTAACAATGACACCATGCTATATAAAATATCTAAATCATAAAACTTGCATTAAACTTAAACCAAAATAGTCATATATATATATATAACAATATGCCCCTCTTCAAGATAAATATTTACAATGTTTTTTTACATTATACAACGATTGTTTTCAGTTCATGCTCACAGTCTACTCATACAATCTGCACCAAAATTTGCAGTCCTCTTGATGGCCTCACTCTGGAACTGGTAGTTCTGGAGGTAAAACACTCACCCCATGATCCTTGCACTGTCGATTTTACACCTCTGGATATATGCAAAGAGCTGATGGTCCATCTGGATGATGAAATCTCTCTTATAGAGGTAGTTCTGGAATTTCTGGATGGCAAATATGATGGTCAGACACTCTTGTTCAATCACAGAAACAGTCTGTTTTTATGTTCTTGCAGAAGTACTGCTCCAATTCCAACATCTGAGGCATCAACCTGAATGATGTAGAGTTTATTGAAGTCTAGCATTCTAAGGATTGGTAAACTTCTAAACTTGGTTTTCAACTTCTGGAATGCCATCTGCTGTGGTTGTTCCCACTTCATCTTGTTGAGTTGGCCTTTCTTGTTCAGGTCAGTCAATGGTTCAGTGACTTGAGCATAGTGTGGGATGCACTTCCTATAGTCTTATGCTAACCCAAGGAAAGATCTGACTTGCTGCTTGGTCGTCAGAGCTGGTACATCTTGTATGCAGGTTAGCTTCTCTTCTTCCATGGCTATCTGTTGGTCACCCACCTTGTGCCCAACAGAGTCCAGCACAGAATAGCAGCTATAGCACTTTTCGTCTGTTTCTTCTGGCAGCAGTACCCATGGTGACAGCCACTCTTCTTGTTGCTTGCCATTGACATCTTTGTGGGTAGCTCCAGCTACTTTATGTTTATATTTCTGCTACTGCTTATTGGTGAAAGACTTGCACTCACTCTCAATGTGCCCCATAAAATCTCTTCTACCTTTTGTTTGTTGACTTCTTGTCACCTTTGGCATCCTGCTTCTGGTCAGTCACCCTTGGTTTTCGACTTTGACTGGTTATTCTTGGACTTGCCAGATATACTCCCTCTATGGGCTTCCATGTACTGTTCTGAAAGCTTGGTGATCTCATCCACGTCTTCTGGTGCTCTCTCCTTTAGGAACAGTGACACATTAGTGGAGCACATGATCACGAGCTGTTCACATATGACCAGATCTGCCAGTCCTTCAAAACTATCTTCACACTTGGCCATGTCAGTCCATCTTGTGAAGTATTATTGTAGACGTAAGATAAGCTGAGATACAGTTTCTCCAGTGTCAGATTTGACTTCTCTAAACTTCCAGTAAAAACCTTCCTTGGTAATTTCATTGTGTTTCAGCAAGGTCACTTTTAACTGGTCATAGTCCATGGCATCTCCTGACATCATGCCCACAAACACTTTTAGGCTTTTCCTTTGAGAATGGGCTGAGACAGACTACCAAATCACCTTTGTCCCAATTCTGACTTTGGGCAAATATTTTATACCTCTCCAGGAAGGCATCCATGTCATAGTTCTGTTCATCACATTTGGCAACTTGGGTCACCTGGCCTTAACCCCATTGGCATCATTGGGTTCTCCATCTTTCTGTTGCATGAGCTTGGAAATCTCAATTTATGCTTTTATTCTCTCATTTCCTGTCTCTCCTCTCTCTTCTTTTCCTGTTTCTCTCTTAGAGCTAGTGTTTCATGCTGATGTTCTTCTTTCAGCCTTTCTCTTTCTTTCTCTCTTCTCTGCCTCTCCTCCTCTATCTTCTGTTGATACTATTCTTTCTCTAGGTTTTCTTGTTGTTTAACAAACTCTTTAAGATCGTCATCTTTGAGCCTGTGTCACTTGCCCCTCTCTATCCACTTATCAAAGTCAGTCAACATGGTTATATAGTGTAGTTGTGATCTCTACAATATTTTTGCCACCTTTACAGCTGTGTGTATATAGACCTATTTGCCACTGTCAGGTTTTGTAATGCCACATTCTTTTCAGTAGGTGTCTGTGACTTGTTGACAATAAATTTCAACTATAAACAAACAGCAACAAAGTCCGCTTGTTTCTTTTTTGTCAAAGCCCACACAGACTGGTTCAGGTACTTTAGAACACAATTGACAAGGAGAATTATTCTTCTCTACTCTGTTATTACAATACAGTCTGTGATAATTTCACTTTAAAAATCACCATTACACACTCTTTATTGCTAAAGTCACAATCACACAGTCTAAAACTAGGACTCAATAATGATTTTTTTGGCATGTATTTATACCCTGACAGAAGTCTAGAACACTCCATACAGTATTAGATTTTCTTATGTAATAATACTCAATTAAACCAATGAGAAACTCAAAAAGGTTTTTAGCAACGTGGCACAATAATCTCACTATTGTAAACAGTTATATAAACAAACTTACCATATAATACCACTTCTAAAAACAACTAAATATGACACCTATTCTGTATAAACTATCTAAGTTGTAACACTTACATTAAACTGAAACTGAAGCAGGAAAGACTGATTTGTTCTGTATTAACTACCCAGCCTTGGATTTGTTTTATTATACAATCTGGAAATTCTTTTCCAATCAGTTCAAGCTCCCTGTTGATTTTTGATTTTTTTCACCAGATGTTTGGAAATGATTCTTATGTTGTAAATTTTCCAAGGTTAAGTTACTCTCATCCATTTTCTTTTAGTTACCACCTGTTTAAATTCAACATTTCCACTAGATGTGCAACCATGCATTATAACCTATTGTTTATGTAGTTTCATATGGAGATTCACAAAGCTTTGTAGAAATGATCCTTGGATATTAGGTATGTTCATAAGTTAAGGGCTTAGAAATTCCACTCCTTTTGAAAGAGAAACATCTCTCTGTATGTGTTTTAACAGACCTGTAACTGATCTGTAAAACAAACACTTCCTACAGTTTCGTAAGGAGTTTAACAAAGCCTTTTAGGTATATGACCTATATAACAAAGATCAAAGTGAAATGTATAGTAGTTTCTGGTGTATTTGCACTTGTAAATTTGTTAAGTTATAAATTTGAAATGATCAATCAAATGTAATAAGAAAGTTATAACCTATGGATCTGAGTTGTTAAAAAGGTCAAGATAATGCAAAGGTCAAAGCTATTATATAATTTTTATACTACCAAACTCTGAGTGATGACATGAAATGCTTAGCACTCATACTTGTTTGTAATTGTTAGTTTTCACTATAAGAATTTTGTGAGACAAGGCTTCACTAAGTTTAATAAGAAAACATACCAGGTTCTTACAACGAACTTGAGAATTCAGACATTGTTTTGAGATGCAATTTTACTTGTCTGATTATTTTAATTTAGAACTTTGTTAATGTTGTGTCAGTGTAACATTTGTTTCTTGTTTAATTAAACAAATTTTACTGCCATTGCAGTTTATGTTAATATATTTATTGAAAATATATTTGTAGTAAAATCAATGTTCAACTCAAGCAATGCTTTTGGATTGATTTTCAAAAGTGTAATCCAAATTTCAGAGTATGTTTCAGTCTTATGAATTCATGAATAAAAATTTGGTTGAGTACGAGATAAGTAACAAGTTTGATTTTTCATGAGTATGTGTGAAAGTGCCAGATGTCTTTTTCAGTTTTAATGACTAGTTTCTTCCCTTGTCATAAAATGTAAATTGTTTGTGAAAACATAAATGTGGTATTTGCAGTGCTCATCTGGCTTCATTTCCAATCCAAACCAGAAAAGGTTGATGTGCCCAGACTGTAAAGCTATAATATGTGCCCAGTGTAGAAAACTGGTAAGTTTACTGTGATGCCCACAATTTATGTGTCCATCTGTATTCTTCTAATAAAAAATTAAAACATTGAAATAAAAGGTAGAATAAAATGTTCACGATTATATTTAGACTTGGGTATATTTTCCATTCAGTAAGCTGGTGTATTTATTATAATGAGTTTTATTGAATGAAATTGGGATAATGTTATTTTGTTATTCAGACCCTGAATAAACATTTCTTTGTGAAATTTGTTTTATTACTTAAAGTTAAAAATTTAAAAACATATATTGTATAATTAAAGAAGAGTGTCTAATTATTATAAATATTAAAGAGCTAACATTAGATTTGCCAAAATAAAATGTATGAAAAAAATAATACTAGAGCTAAGTAAATCCTTTAGGTCATTTATGATTTAATTTACTGTAATCCCCGGTGCTGTCTTACACCAAAGTTTGATAACTTTTGTATGTAAACTGTAGTTTTTAAGAAACTAAAGAGAAAAAACTTTCAAACTAAAATCATATAGATTCATAATGCTTTGCTTAGATATATGTTATTTTCTAAAGTGGGAGAAACAGCATGATGGCCTCAGCTGTGAACAGTTCCAGGCTTGGAAGGATTCTAATGATCCTGAGGCTCAAGCTGCAGGCTTAGCCAAACATTTGGAGGAGAATGGCATTGGTTAGTCTTATCACATGTGAACAATCTTTTTGAAGTATAACATAATATAATAAAATAATATTATAATATGTGATTATTTTAAATTATGGGAAATTTCAAATATTGTTATATATTATAGGTTCAATACTTTGAGTGACTGAAAATAATTTTATGGCTCTTGTGGTAGAAATATTTGTTTTGAAAATTAGTGGAACAAAGATATTAATCCCCTCAATATGACTCCTTATAGTATACCTGTAGTTTTTAAACATTATGAAGCTAAGTGTAAAGCGGGTTAGGTTCAATATAATTTTTGCCCATTTAAAGTTTAGCTTTTTTAGAATATTCATGCTGCACTGCCAAATTAACCACAGAAAATGCTGCAAACTTAAGTCTTACTTGCTTTAAATTTCACCTAAACAAGCTACATATGTTATAAAGAATGTCCTCTCTCATGTTTTTGTATTATATACAGTCAGAGAAATTTATGCACAAAAATGAATACTGCCATAAAACTTAACTCTGTATTTATATGTTGTTTTAAATCATGCTTGCAGCTGGAATCTTTGGAATGGCTAATGTAAGTTGATAATATGGTATAGTGTTTTCAGGTATAACCTGATGATTACCGAACAAGTATGAGATAGACGAGCAAATAACTAAGAATTTGTTCAAGAAATAAGGAGATTGATTCTCATCAAATAACTTAACTGAGCTTTCTTAGTACTTGTAAGGTAGAGACTGGACAGAGTTGGTAAAAATTAAAACAATCTTTATTATAAAATAGACAGAAAAGAAAATGTAGCACTTCTGCACACAAAAACACAGTTGCTTTTACTACACTGTGCTAAGTCCCATGCTTTCTCTCTCTTTCTCTTAAGGATATTACAGTGATTACTTTTAACCCAGATGCTGTAAGTTACTACAATATATTCTCAGGGAAAAGACATAGCAGCTACTATAGAGAATAAAAAAAACAAGCATATAAAACAAAATAATCTTAATGACTTTCTGGACTATGTGTTGCTGCCATTACAGCATGGAAACTACATAATAAAAAATATTAAAAAAAGAAAAATCTATCACTATGGCAGGTAGAAAATATATGATATGCCTGCACATTTCACTTTTCCTCCTTTCTCTCTTTCAGGCTTGTCTTCAAACCAACAATTATATTTAACTTTAAACACTTTTAAACTCTTGATGTGGTTAAAGAACATGTTGACTTTATTCCTAAGAACACTTACACTTTTAGCTTATACTATCCATGTCAGTTATATTTTTAAAAGTAAAAATGAAATATAATACAAAAGTAACACATTATTAAAGTTAAACAGTTTTTAACTTAGCCTTTTGATCACACACAAAATCACTAAAAGCCAAAATATAGACCAACTTTTTAGATTAAAATTTAATAAAAAACAAAGAGTAATCAAAAAACAACAAAACAGAAGAACTCTTTAACAAAGAAAATACATAAAAATATGCTTTCAAGTAGAATTACGTGAAATTTTCTATAACTTAGATAAACCAATGTGCAAATATATACTTACGAGCACAAAAAATGAAACTAATTAATAAAGAGAAAGAACAAAAGAAAGAAACAAAACCACAGAGATACACTTTCTACTTTATAAGTGGACAGACTAACACAGAAACTAAACATGAAACTGAAATAAAATGAAATACAACAATAAAGGAAAAGCTTTTAACAATGCTTGCATTTAAAATTCAACTGTAACAAAGATTTATGTTGATTCTGTGTTGCTCCCTCATGCACAAAGAGTAGCACAGTATGTGACAGTCCCTTACATGAAGAACAAAAGTCAAAAATATATTGAAAAATCAAATTCATTATAAACCCCAAAAATAATTATCATATACTAAAAATTCACACTCAAAAAAGCCATTTACTTTTAAACAGAAATCAACCTTTTCACATAGTCACTTAACGAAACAAAAAAAAATACAAAAAACATCTAAACAATAAATTTAAGGCTGCTCCTCATTTACATGCACTTACATGTGAGCAAGAGATGTCTCATTAGACACAACTAAAACATATCTTGCAAAAAAAAACAAAAAAAGTCCAAATACATATAAAAAAAACAAAAAAAAACTTAAATCCCTGCCCTTTTACACATGTCCACATGTGTGAAAGAGCCAGGGCATGTCATTACTAAAATGAAATAAAAACCAAAATATGTACATACACTGAATAAAATAATAATAAAAAATAAATAAAAAACAAACTGCTAGGCTCCTGTCTTTCACATGCACTCATGAGTGTGGAAGATGAAGGGCAGTCCAAATTAAAAATAAAATACGAAACATACATTCACCTCAGAAAGTGGTTGAGGCTTTACTTCACTCACTTTAATCCACCAACAGAACTTTCAGTGTTGCCGTTGTCTTTTGATTTGGGCCAGTGACATTTTTAAGTCTGCTCGGTCCTTTATCAAGTTCCACTTGGCTTTAACTAGCCTGTCCCATAAATGCTGGACCTCCTATAAACATAAAAAAATATGAACTATACAACATTAGCATTATATTAAATTCTGATATTATTTTAATAAATGAAACACTTTAAACCCTCAAAGTAACTTAAGACTCCATAATTTTAAAACAATTTCAATACCCTAAGTGATAAGTACACAAGACATAATGGAACTATATAAAAAAAAAGATTAAAAAATATCCTTACCCAATATTAAGATCAATAGTACTAATGAATATATATTATGCTATATACACCCACCAAATCACGAAAAAATAACTCTTTTAACAGTATATGTCTCACCTTCTAACAACCTGATATATCTTTGTTCTAAAAAACTATAAACAAAAATACTCGCACAATAATCCTAGGAGACCTTAACTCCAAACATACAGACTTCAACTGCTGCACAACTAACACCAATGGAAACATCTTGCATACCTTAGTTGAAAATGATAATCTAATGGTAATTAATGATGCAACACCAACACACACTTTTCATAACAGCTTGCAAGATATATTAGATCTTGCAATAATCACTCGCACACTTATTCCACTTGCATATAACTTCCACGTACAAGAAAACATAGGTAGTTACCATGATCCCATATCCTTTGTCTTAAATATTAACCTACACAACCCTATCTCAATGCCACTTCCCAAAGAAATATGATTACACTAAATTTGATTGGATCATCTAGAACCAGAACATAGATGCTCTCCTTCCTAATCTTAAAAATTCAGTTAACAATAGTGCAGAAATAGACAGTTACACATCTGATATCACATATGCAATATTGCAGGTGTTGCAAAGTATCATACCAACATGTAAAAGAGTACTAAACATTAATCACTGGAAGCTCATTCCACAAATACACATGCTAATTCTGAAAAGAAGACATTTACGCAGGCTCTACATGCAAACAAGAGACCTCAAACCTACTATTAACAGGACGAAACTAGAAATTATATGACTCATAAAAGATCAGCAGAACGAAAATTAGCAACAGTTCTGTCAAACAATTGACAATAACAGGCAAAACCTGTCCCATTTCTGGTGCAAATGCAAATGAATTTGCAATGACTCAGCCTCCAGAATCTATCCTCCCATTAAATATAATAATAACTGCATTAACAAACAAAGAAAAAGCCAATCTGTTTAGTGATTACTACGAAACTGTTTTTACTACACTAAACACAGCCAGCTTTAACCAAGAACACTACCTCAAAGTCGATGCTCATATCAAAGATAACAACTATACATTTAAACCAAATTTTCCTGTTAGTCTGAACCAGTACTTCTCAACTGGGTGAATGAGAATGATGGGGCGAATGAGTATTATCAATTATAAAACAAATTCTAGTTGTAGTTTGATAAATACATTTATTTTGTTTATTTTATGTTGTATTCATTCTAGTTGTAGTTTGTTGTATATTTAACTATTTAAGTCATAATAAAGAATTTGGCATTTTAATTTAGTACTTTTTGTCTCTTTTCGAACCATGGTGAGTGAGTTGTTGTGAAAAACTTTTAGGGGTGAATGATATTGGAAAAGGTTGAGAAGCACTGGTCTAGACCATAACATCTACCAATGTCAATATTACCAGACCTATATTTTTAGCCAATATTAAAATCACTATTAAAAAGTTAAAAACTCATCCCCCAGCTAAGATAGAAGAAGGAATTTAGTACTAAAGAATACATCTAATTTACTCCTTAAACATCTTTGTGGCTTGTACAATCTATCCTTAAGTGCAGGATACCTCCCCACTTCCTGGAAATAAGCAGTTTTAAGTATCATCTCCAAAAAAGGTGGGGGTCTTAGCAAATCAGCAAATTACAGGCTGATGATTCTTTTAAACTGTGCAGGGAAGTTATTAGAAAAGATAATCACAACCAGATTATTGTATCATCTCGAATCAAAGAAATTATTAACAGATATACAAAACACTTCTTGGAAAAAACGTCAACTACTGACCACCTAGTCAAACCAACAGAAGCTTTCAACTGTGACTTTAATCAGAACCATGCAATGAAAGCCACTTTTCTCGATGTCAAAAAAGCATTCAACAGTGTTTGGTGCAATGGCTTAGAGTACAAACTCTCTCAACACATAATACCAATACTCCTTATACGATGGATCTCTAGTTTTCTAATAAGCAGAATAGCTAAAGTCAGAATCAGTAATAACATATCCACACCCTTTACCTTACAAGCAGGAGTCCCACAAGGATGTGTTTTAAGCCCCTTACTTTGCATAATCTTTGTAAATGATATCAACTTCTCCGATCTTACTCAAACCTTTGCATTGCAGTATGGAGTACATCACATGACCCTTGCATAGCAGCCAAGAGAGTTTCACTTTTAGTAGACCACATAACCAAGTGGTGCAACACCTGATGCATAATACTTAATCCACTAAAGACAGAAGCCATAGCATTCAGCAAAGTTCTCAAAGGAAACAGGAAAAAAGTAAACTTGTCAAGCTCACTCTTTATGATATACAAATCAAGTTCACCAATT